GCAGTAGATGCTCCGGTAAGTTAATTTGCAACGTATAAGGTTTGCTACGTGTTGAGTTAGAAACCCTCTCCAAGGCTCCTAAAAACTAGAAAAACTGTCGAATTTCTACAGTAACTGGCACTCTAGTATTAATTATTACACATTAGTATAACCGCACAATTACATATACACAAGCGTAAACTGCACAGCACTGCAAAAATTCAAATTTGCTATTGCAAGAGTAACGAAATATAGAAAAAATAAAAACAAAAGAAGTTGAAGTTTGAAAGTTTGATTCTCATGAGAGCAACGTCAAAATGGTTTCTACACTGTGTATTTATGTGCCTTGGTATCGAGCTCTCAAGAAAAAAGAGATTTTCGTCAATCAAAATTTCTTACGTTAGTTTGTGGCTCTCAAGAAAAAAATGTTCGTAATTTTATTTCCTTAAGAAAATTTACAGCAACGGCAAAGTACTTTTTGCGTAAAAATAATATTAGCTAACCTGCGTACGGTACGATTTGCAAAGTATATTTGTAATCAAAGTATTAGATACATATTTCAAATGAAAACTACTAAAAACACATCATTTGCGTTATATCCGTCACTTAAGTGCCAAATTTTTCCCTCTTTGTTATTAATCCTTCGAAATAGATTTTGTAAATTGCACCGATTTGAAATCTTACGATATGCAGAACATGCCCGTTAAGCTTAGTATCCAGCTCTCACGAAACTCAAACACTCCAATAAAAAAAAAACTGATGAAATGGAGAAGACATTTCTGTGTCAAATTAACTTAAGGCAGTACGCAGTTATAATACAATTTTCTAGGGTTTTCTAAAGTTTTTTGTGAACAAAGAGCACAAGGCAACACATATTTTCAACAGGAATATATCGCGGTTTCATGATTTCGTGAGGAAAGTGTGAGATAACAGGTTGTGATATATCAGATGTAAAAATTTCTTGGACACTACTATTCACACAAACTAAATAATGGCAATTTTTTCTGGACAGTTTCCTTAGGAGCTGGATACTAAGTTTTAACCGATAACTTTTCAATGAAGAGGAGAAATGTCAAATGTTAGAGTGAACCGAAATGGACGCTGGCAAGGAAAAGAGATAATTTTTATAAAGGCTGCGTTTCTTTATACATTCCGGATAATCCCATTTCACAGCCGGAATAAACAGAATGCGTTTGAAATATAAGTAAACATATCATCAGGAACGTTCTAAAGAATAAATAAACAAAAAAGCTTATTCCAAACGTTCAGAATGAATAAAGAAATGCAGCCAAAATATTAAGTTTAAGTATATTTAAATTGCTTAAATTGCTTTAATGATCACAGTGGCACAAAGAAGAAATTTGACTTACCCTTGAGTTGTAAGAAAAACAAGCACAACAAGATTCAAGGCTATTAATCCGAGATTTGCCTCTGTAAACGCGGTGATCAACAAACGAGCTTTTATTGGGATTGTGTTTATAAGTAAGCTTACTTTTATGTGATCAGATTTAGAACAAAAATGATATAGCCAAACGCAAAATCGTATTAATTTAGAAAACTATGTACATATTTATCCTAAAGGCCCTTTCGGGTCTTTTGTTTTAGTTCATATTTCTAAATATTTTAGCAAACCATAAATAGGATTTTTTTGAATGTATTCACACCAAAGCCACCTCGCAAGTCGAAACAATCCCATCGCTGATATACTGACAATAACTCACAGTAATTTAAACGTAATCGAATGAGCTGCTGAGCTTAACAGAGGATCATAAGCTCTCGTTTTGTGTAACTTTTATCCCCTGAAAATGAACTCCACTTAAATGAACTATTACAAGCGTAGTTATGTAAGAGGACTATTGGCGATTGGTCGTTTGCGTAATATAAACGTAGAAAAAGCTTTCTTTTAATTCAATTGTTAGCAGGGCGGCTTTATGGCGACCAGCAAGCACAAAGGTTTAAAATCTAAATGACTACATTTCAAATAAAATCCTTTTAAAATTTTAGGCAGGACAACGTCTATCGTGTTTAGTAATAAACAATTTGTAAGTATGTATATACGATTTGTATACAGATATAACAAAGGTTACGTAAACTCAAGGAGTTTCATTTCGAAAGACTTAAGACTTAAAAATCTATAGTGGAAAGTTACCTCAGGCTCCGCAGTTCACAAGCGAAGGGCTTGAAATTCTGACCGAAAGATTTATCGGAAAGCCAGACGACTTACGAAAGGTTCCAAGACCAAAACGAGTTCCGGTAAGAACAACCACGAGGATCAGGTGGGTCATGTCCAGAGCATAGTTTAATTAAAAAGAAAACTGTTTTAAATACTTTTGAATGGTAACAGTAATGAGAGCATTGGTGAAATCGACTTCCCCCTATGACGAGGTACGAATAGGAATTTCTCGGATGATAACAACAAAGCTGCTGGAGTTGACGACCTGCCAGTTAAGTTATTCAAGTACGGCAGCGAGTAGTTAATAAGGTGCATACTTAACAACTTGTGCATAATATGGTCGAATGAATGCATGCTCGACGACTGGAATTTAGGTGCGTTCCGCGGAATCTAAAACATCGCGCATAAGGCCTTACGGTCAACGAACTGATGGGGCCTTATGGTGTGGCATAAGACCAGGTATCTGCCAAGCGCCAAACCTTGGAAAATACCAGCTCTGTCAGAATTTGGAAGGCCTTCTTCGAGCCGTTCTATGCCAAACGAGGTTTCAGGCGGAGCCTCTCTACCGTGCGAATTCTTTAATCTGCTTCTGGACAATATAATAAGGGCTGCACAACTTAATCGCTTTGGTACAAGGGCGTAAAGCTGCACCTGTATATGATCAAAAGAGTTCAAGGATTCTTATGTTACAAAAATTTTGTTTACCACTTTAGTGAGACTAATATTAGAATACGAACCTTTTGTTTGGAACTCCCACTACCAAGTTCATTCAGAAAGGATTGAACCAATTCAAAAACAATTCTTGCTTCTCCTTCTCCTTCCTTACACTAGTCGTCTAAACCTCATTAATTTGCATACACTTGCACAGTAATTATCGTAAAATTAATGCCAGGTTTGATTAATAGCCAGTTCCTTTTCGAGTATCAAGACATCTCTCTCAATAATTAAAATACTATCTTTCGCATCTCCAATCAGCTGATGAATCTGATTCCTCAAATTACTCAATTTCGATTATCAATTTAATTGGAAATTGTAACTGTTCACAGAATTGAACTTTACTTCAATTCAATTTATTTACTCTGTGGCTTATCTTTTAATTTTATACTCTGTTGATCCTCTCGCGAACCCAAAATATGTTCAGCCTATATTCTTTAAAAGATGTTTTGTTTTGCTTTTGACGAATATGTTATTGAATTTGTTTTGTTTTTCAGTCATGCTAAAAACTCATTCACCGGAAAAAAATTTTAAGTCGCATTGTTGAAATTGAAACTTCTCAACTCGCGAAAATGGAGACTCATATCAAATTCCAAATGACGGCTTTTTCTCTACCCAAATTGTGTGGGCAGTCACACAGAATATGCCCTGGCGTCTCCTTTACCAGCCCACAAAAGACTCGGGCCCATGCAAGCGCATTTGGGCTCTACGCTTTGAGGGACAGTTAGCCCCTTCGTTGCCTTCAAACCCTTCATGTCCCGAAACCCACCAAAGAGTTACGCTCTTTTGGGCTCCCAGGTAGTCCAGAGAGTTTAACAGCTGTCCACAAGACCTGATACCGTTTTAAAAGAGCCTAACGCTTTTAACGCTGCCTGACTATCCGACATAATATTTATTCTGGACCCATTTGTCATTCTACAAAGACATTCGCGAACTCAGGTTTCCATTGCTAAGACCTTCACCTGGGAATATGGTTTGGTATTTACCTATTGGCAGACTTTTCTAAAATCATGGTCCAAGTACGCCTGCCCCAGTACTCCCGTCGTCCATCTTCGATCCCTCGGTTATCATACTTGGGACCCTTTGTCAGTCATAGTTATTATCGCTTCACAGCAGTCTCTTTTACGAATTCTCGAGATCATCCAGGAATGGCTAGAGAACCTCTGAAGATCTCCGCATTTCATACTGGTCGTAGTGGGTTGCCTCTCTTTCAATCAGAATAGACTAAGGAGAAACGCCTGTAATGACACCAAGGGCATCCAGTGGGGAGGTGCGCATAGCTCCTATGATGGCCATGTGGACCAGTCGGTGCAGCTTGCTCAAGTTTAACTTGCTTAGCTCTTGGCCACCAGGCCAGTTCCGGATATTAAAAACAGTCTCCAGTAGTTTACCACAACCAGGCTGGTCGAGAGGGAGCGGCAAAGGGGTGAATCCCCAGGGCCCGGTATTTTTAAGGGGCCTGTAATATCAGAAACATAACTTTTTATTTTTTTTTTTTTAATTCGTTATAGACTTTTTTATAAATATATTCCGAGTCGTGCTGATTGTTTCTGACTCAATACATTAAAGAAAATAATCACACGCTTTTAAATTAATACAATTTAGTACGTAATAAGGGTCCGTGATTTTATAGTCCGGGACCGAGATTTCTCTCGACGGCCTTAATCACAACTTTGTATACGAATCAGGGACATTTACATATTTTCTATTTTTGCACTTAAACTTTGCGGTTATTGCAACATTAATTATTACAAGGTTGCAAATGCATTTCCACACTTACTCGTTTATACTCCGTGCTTTTAAATAATTGACAACCAAGAAAAACAAAAACAAATATTTATGCAGGTTATAAAAACGTTCTTCCTATTTTAGATATGACACTCAGGAGTTTAATTCACTAGCGGAATTAAATGGGAATTTTATTCATCACCGTATACTTATTCTCGCATTGTGTCGTTCTTTTTGCACTCTTTTCATGCAAATAAGAATCGATTCATTGCGTTTATACTTAAAAAATATGCATATCTAAGAGAAAACAATAATAATATGTAAATTGTTCACTCATTCTCATTGCCTTCTCATTATTTTATTTTTCATTTTTCTGTACGTGCGTTCTGTCGCCCAATTTGAGCAGTTTCCAGCAATGCGCGCCCTCTCCATCTCATCGGCGGATGCATTTATTCTGGTATATGATGTCACCGAAGCTTCCACATTCGAGGAGGTTCGCATGATACGCGATCAAATACACGAGACCAAAGCAACCTCAGCTGTACCCATTGTGGTTGTTGGCAATAAAATTGACCTAGTCGCCGAGAGAGAGGATGCCAGAAAGGTAAATCAGACATTGAGACTTATGTATGTAGACATAGAGACTTACCAATATTTGCTTCTTTAGCCTATTATATGAGTATTTACTTATGTATGTATATGGGTGCACATAAGAAGGTACAAACATTGTAGTACCGTAAATTTATTATCAGAATTTGTAACACATTAACGGCGGATTTCGATAAATTTGTCTAGAGCTAAAGACGCTACCGACTCTCTGTTATATGCATGGAGTCGAAGATGTCGATAACGATATTTAACCGGAGTTTAGTGTTAACCAGACATTGAGTAACCGGCTAAGTTGCCACCAGTTTCAAAATTTCAGTTTCAGTAAATTGAAAAGATAAAGTAAATATTGCAATATGGATGCCAAAAGAAAGCGGTTACATGCGAAAGAAAGAAAGCTTACATTCGAAGATATTTTTGATCAGGACTGCCACCTGCATGGAAAATCTATATACTTATCTTACTTACTTACTTACTTTTATCAAATTTAATGAGTTATATCTCATTTTGAAGGGGACTGACTGCTCGCGTACTTGCGAAAAATAGTCACTTTGTTCAAATTTAGTTATTTATTAAAAAAAAGTGGTTTTAAAAAGCTGAAAGCACTTTATCCGGTCAATAAGGCGCCATATTTTCCATAATCTTCTATATATATAAAATAATAGCCATTTTCGTTGTTCGGAGTTAACTCAAAAACTACTGCATAGATTTCAGTCAAATTTTCAGGGGTTATACCTTGCATAGTTGGTCCTATTATAGGTTACCAGAAAACTCGGTAGGTGGCGCTGGGGTCGAGTTATTTATAAAAATCGTATTTATGAACCGATTTCTTTTAAATTCAAAAGGTATAGTTTCAGCATAATGGAAAATACGTTTACCAAAAACGGAGCCGCTAGGTGGTGCGGGAGGCGAGTTATTTATAAAAGTTGTGTTTATGAACCGATTTCGTAGGCATGATGAAAAAAGCACTTGCGAAACCCGCTAGGTGGTGCTGGAGTCGAGTTATTTATAAAATCCGTATTTATGAACCTATTTTGTTAATACACATTCGAAACGTTTATTACTTTAATGATGATTTTTTTTTCATTCGAAACATATTCAGCCTTATCATGAGTTTCATCTTCCTTGAACCGGTTCACTTTTCGCTTTTGGTTTCCATGTACTTACTATGTGCGAAACTCAGGATAAGGAAGATTACATACATAAAATGATAGCCATTTCCGTTTTTCGGACTAAATTCAAAAACTACTCAATAGAGTCCAGTCAAATTGTCGGAGGTCCTATTATAGGGACTAGAAAACACGCTGGTGGCGCTGGAGTAGAGTTAATTATAAAAGTCGTATTTATTAACAGATTTCGTTCAAATTCGCATTGCTAAAAATAGGACCGCCGGAGTTTAGGTATTTAGAAAATCCGTATTTTTTATAAAATCTGATTGGAATTCATAATTCGTATTCATTTCATGACAAGCAAAGGTTTTGCAGAAAAGGGACCCAATGGATGACGCTGCACCCGAAAGAAACCCCCGTGGGGTTTGTTCATCTTAGACGAATTTACGTTTCAGTTGGCTAAATCAAGGATGGGTTTAAGTATGCATATAAAGACCGTAACACTGTGTAAGCGTGATCTTGCTTCTACCTCCGATTGACGAAGTTGCTCGAGGCGACCGTTATTACAGCAGTAAGACTCAAAGAAACCAATTCATAAATATTAATACGAATTGTAAAAGTGGAGAATTGACAAGGAAAGATTCGACCACATCTGTCCAAGAAGGAACACGATAGGTATATCAATGGCTTCATTTGAACGATATTCATGAGATCACACGACTCATTTAGCCAATGTACGCGAAAACTTTTCATCCCACAGGGCAGCGAGGATTCTTGGCCTTCCTATAATTGAAAACGCTCACCTGTGCTCTTGAGTTTCCGTTTTTCCGACTTTTATTGGCTTACATGGTACACCGGACCAATGCTGAAGTTGCAGGATCATAGAAGAATATTACGCACGCATGGCAGATATCTCACAGGTGGAAATAAGACCATAAGTAAAACGCATTACATCGAAAGGGATTAGTATTCCATATGGAATCACAGCGCTACTATTCTTGGCATATGTGTGAGGAGGATTCCGTTTTTTAGTCGTTTCAATTTAAACTAAAAATGTTCACTTTACAGACTGCTTTTGCTTTTAAACGCTATTTTTGAATTGGCCAACGCAAAAGATCTTATTAGGCGCCGCGAAGCAAGCGGGTATTTGCTATTACTGTATAAAATGGAATGATTGAAACGCCATTTTGAAGAAAAGCTTCACTGCTTGAGGTTAAAACAAAAACCTTTCGATAGGGTTTCCACCCTCTTAAAATTTTAGGGACTTAAGTCAATATATTGAGTAAAATATTACAACGCATTCAGGGAATGAACGGCATTTAAATGCACTCTTAACCAGAAGTAATAATTTTCAAAAATGTGTATCTATATACATACAAGAGCTGTCTTTTTGTTTTGTTAACAGCATGTTGGATAGGTTAGGTTAGAGTGCGTTGCAAATTATTACCGGTTCCACTTACAATTTAATTCAGTGTTCGTAAACCATTCGCCGATTAAATTATGAAACATTGTCTCACGCAACAGCAATTTACAAAGATTGGCGATTAGCAGTGCAAATAAAAAACCTCAGCAACGCGCCCAAGTTAATGCAGGACGACCTTAGGAGGAACAAGCACCTTAACAACTGAAACAATTTATTTCGTTGAAATCTATCAGTGTTGTGCGATTAAACGCCAGATCATTGGAAAATTGCAATTACTTCGTAGGTTATTTAAAATGGCAATGGAAGATATGCTTTCTGACAACCAAAAACCTATAATTAGTGCAGATAAATGTGCGTCTGGTAGTCGTTAAGTGAGTAGTTGGTAAAAGTGTTGTCCCAAAAATGTTCCATCAAAAAATTAATTTTGGGCGATAGGAAGTTCGCCGGGTACGCTAGTTTAATTTAATCAAATTGATAAAATAAATAAAATTTTCAAAATGTGGGTATTAAACTAAAGGAGTTTAAGAACGCTTATAGCCGAAAATGTTTTTGAGGAGGGTTGCCAACTGCTTAAAAAATTTAATTCAATAGATTGATAAAATAAATTAAATATTATAACATGGGTATCAAACTAAGGAGGTTTAAGAAAGTTTATTGTCCAATATTAGCTTAAGTAGTTACAGATTTAGCGCAATTTTCATATTTATATAAGTTACCGTTATATGGGAGGTGGGCCAACGGACCAATTTCAAAATTGTTCAACAGTCAATGTTCGTACCGTGTTTGGTAGGGATCGGTAAAGCGGCCTCGAAACACAGCATTTCAACACAAATCGTCGGTTCCTCTCCAATTTTTCAAAAATTTTAAACTATCTTATTTTATGCCGAAATTCTACTTCCCTTACTAATTTTCAACAATTTGGATCCATTAGTTACGAATATATCGTAGTTTTCATATTTTTCGAGAATACTGTTATAGGAGCGCGATTTCGCCCATTTTCAATATCAACCTCCCTTGGGTAAAGGGCAACCTACATAATAAATTTTATTGAGATACATTTGTATCTGAATTTCTGTTGGAGTCATCGTTTACACGTACAGACGTGCGGATATATCTAGAGAGTCGCGGACGGGACTAGGACAGGTGAATGGCTTGAGCTGCCATCGTTCTACGAGCTGGCTTCATTAAGCCTTTCGCCTACAATAACGACAACATCTCGTGCAACTAGATCAAGTGGAGGTGGATTCAACATCGCATTTAAGACTCTTTTGTCTACTTCTGAGCGCTATTTATTTCGCTGTGTTATAATTCCAGTGCAGTCTGCTTACGAGAATTACCCCTTACTTCTTGCCTTCGTTATCACTTGCTGCAAGATTTCCCTCATACATAGGTAATTATCCTGTGTTCGTCTGCCTCCATGGATAGAAGGTTTGTCTTGATAGGGTTTAAAGTGTGTTTTTCCAAAATTTTCTCTAGTGACTCCCTTATTGACCTAAAGTTTGCTTGCTTTCGTATGAGAAGCTCTGCCTGACTTCGGTACAAATACCCTTCTAACGTCCCTCCACATCATTTGGGTATAGCATAGCTTCAGAAAGCTGACGGTTTTTAATCATGTTTTAGTCTATAAGTATTCCAAGGAGATTCGTATAGGTTGAAAGTACATATATCCCACCCTATTTTACTACCACTTATGATTACGTTGTTGAACTGTGGTCTACACCACCTGTGAACTGTGTATTAAAAGTTCCGCTGCATTTGTATATCTAGAAATAAATTAATGGTTTCTGAATTTGAGGCCATTAAGGGTAGTTATTCGTGTATATTGAAATAGCTTTCTTGTATCCTTTTTTAAACTTCTCTGGGTCAGAAGATTGCGAATGGAGCATGTAAGTAAGTTCCTTTTACTATTATTTTAGGATAATCACTTCCTCAGTAACTAAAGTGGGCGGAAGCTAAATTTTTCGTATAAGTGTATGGTAGTACTAATGTTGGTCCTTCTAATGTTTTCTGAATTCCCTACACTTATGGTATTTGGACAGAGAAATGCACTGATACTTTTTTGATTAGAATGCGTGCTCTTGGTTTACCTGTGCCACCACTATAAAAGAGGTTATGTGTGCTGCTGTTAAGTCCTTGTATCTAATCACCTCTGACCCACGGCTCCTGGATTAGGCTGACGTCGATGCTTTCCCTCTCCGAGAAGGATTGACAGATTATCTGTCGCTAGTGTTTACAGTAATCGTAATCAATGTTGCCAAACATGGGCTTTTCCTACCAAAACTGGTAGGTTTTTTTCCATTTGGTAGGTTGGTAGGCTTGATTGGATTTTGGTAGGTTTCGGTACTACGAGTAATAGTTACTTGAGAAAAATAGAAAATATGTATCTCCAAACATTTTAGCTATTTTTTTACCTTAATATTTCACCGGTGCGTTCGTATAACGGCGGCCGCAAACATGATTCCTCAGTACAAACGTATACCCTTATTATTGCCAATATACAATACGAACATCCATATATACTTTATGGCGTACTTGGACCAAGATTCCAGAAAAGTCTGCCAATGGGCTTGTACCCAACAATATTCTGGGCGGGGGTCTTCGCAGTCGAAGTCTGTGTTCTCGAATTTTATCGTAGAAGGCAAATGAGGCCAGAATAAATATTATGTAAGATATTCTGGCAGATTTAGGAGCCTTAGAGTCTTTTAAACGGCATCAAGGCTTGTGAACTCTTGAACCACCTGGGAGCCCACAATTGCGTACCGCTGTGGAGGGTTCAGGGACATGAAGGGTTTGAAGGCAAAGAAACGGCTGACTGTCTTGCAAAGAGTGGAGCCCAAATGCGTTTGCATGGTTCCGAGCCTTTCTGCGGTACATCTAAAGGATACACTGCAGACCTACTTAGGAGCTAACTGCGAATTTCTGCACACTGGCGGAAGTCGAAGGGAATAAGACAATCAAAGAGATTCATAATTTTTCAGGAGGAACTCCGAAAGATACCTTGAACTTAAAACTCTTACTGGCTACCTGACAGCACACTGCAAGTTAACGTACCGGTGAAGGAAACCCCAGAGTATATTCTATGTGCCTGTCCACGAAGCATGAATAGTAGATTGATGCACTTTGGAGAAGGATTGCCTTCTCCATCTAAAATATGTATCCAAAGTGCCGAGCTTTTTAAATAGCCTAAGGTTGGAGCGATTACAATTAGGATTTAGCACAGTATATCTTCTTAGGTCGCAACGCGGGTATCTCCGACGTAATAATAATAATATAGTCACTTGACACGAATAAAGACGCTCGAGTGTTTTGACGGCGTGAAAAAAAATTTGTGAAAAAAGACGCGTAAACATGGATTCAACATCATTCCGGAAAAAAGACTCTTTTGGGAATTCGTATACTCGCAAACATAGTTGACCGCGAAAATAAGTCTTCTTCGTTTTTCTTCGCCGTCAAAGAGGTTAACACGTCTTTCTTTGGCCTCGCCTATGTTAAGGGCCGGTTACTACGATTAAACATAGTTATCGACGTTACCAACTCCCTGTGTTATGCATGGAGTCGAACACTTCGATAAAGATGTTTAACCGAAGATTAGTGTTAACCAGACATTGAGTAACCGGCCCTTAGAATTATTCTTCCCCGAAATTTTTTACGCGTCTTTTTTCGCTGTCAACTTTTGAGCTCGCGTCTTTATTCGTATCTAATGACGATATGTATCTATGTATGTACAGTAAAATGAATCGTTATATTTACGCAGTTAATTTGTTTTTATTGTACTGTACTAGCTGTGTTTTAGTTTTACTAAATGTTATAATAGCTGTTTTTAAAAAAATTGACATTGGAAAAAAATACATTAAAACTCAAAAAAATGTTTGGTAGGTTTTGGTTGGTATTGGTAGGAAATTTTGGAAGGAAAAAAAATGTGTCTGTGGCAACGCTGATCGTAATCCTAAAAATTCCGTAATTATAATCATGAAAATTATGATTACGATTACAGTAGTCGTAATCGATAATTTTTTAGGATTACAGTTAAGGTAATCGCAATGATGCAATTCATGTCTACGATTACAGTAATCGTGAAATTAGTTTTGCTTAGAGCAAATATGGATTTCTACACACCAAAATGGTTTTAAGTTATGAATTCGCATATTTGTTTGAAATTGTTGTAATATACTACACAGACTCGCGGTCGCAGTATTTCCAATATTGTTTGATTTTGATCAACTGCATTACTTCAACTTTAAATCAATTTTATATACTTTTCGGTGACAGTTCCGCTCATTTACTTAACTACTAAACCTCTTCAGAATATCAGTAAATCGCAATCAACATTTTCTTGATTACGATATCAGAAACTGTAACCAAAATATTTTTAGGATTACAATTAAAGTGTTCGTAATCGTAATTTTCATGATTACAATTACTGTAATTGTAATCTTAAAATTTCTACGATTACAATTGCAGTGCTCGTAATCATGTATTTCATGATTACGATTACAGTAATCTTAGCCCTTAAAATTTTAAGATAAAAATTATTATAATCGTAATGGTAACATTTATTATTACAATTAAAATAATCGTAATCGTATAAAATTAAGGACTACAATTAAGAATCGTAATTAGAATGTAATCGTAATCATAAATAGCCCAGCTCTGGTGCATATATGGGAAAATCTTTTTTGATGGGGATTTTTCAATAAAAATTATTATTTTTTTGAATTTAGTAGCAAAATATTTGTTTACCCCTTCAAGTATCACTTATATATATGTATGTATACTTTACTTGTGCTCTTTAATAAATTTTGAGTTGTGCAATTTTCATACTCGGCTTGGTAGCAATTGGTTGATTTCAGTCAAATAGTTATTTTGTTAAACAGCACTAAATCACTTGACAACATAGCTTTTGCTGAACTTGGTTATACACAAAAAAAAAATAAAAAAGAATACATAGTTATTGTTGTTTTCCAGACATAATCCGATTTATTCTTACATGCATACATACATACGCCTTTTTCAATTCAGTACTGTCTTTTGCCCTTAGCTCCCTCTGAGATTAAATATTATTCATGTTCCATTAAACAGTGAACTGGTACACTGCGTTTTGAATCCGTAGGAATTTTCGCTGTCAGGAAGTGATTGCTCATCAGTCATCATTCCAATAAAGTATTCCTAGAGGAGTTTAGCCACTGCTTAATTGTTTTCATCGACCATTTGCTAGCCACCCACAACCACAATTTTCTGCTCTTAGCTTTCTCTCCTTGCAGCTGTTAAAACAATAAAAATGCAAATTTTATCAGCGTTAAAGCTCTTAATTTTCTTTTAATGTCATTATTTCTTTAGAAATTGTTGTTTAAAACCTAAAATGTTTTTAACATCATCAAGATATTATTTAACACTCCGAAGATCTCGCGTCCAACTACATTGTTGTGAAAGAAAATATTGATTTAAACATTTGTATATTGCATACGTTTTACATTATAGAAGCACAAATGTTTGGGACTTTTAACTTTAGGGTGGCCCCAGATTATGTTAAACCCTGAAGGGATTATAACCCTTCTACTATGTTTATGTTGAAATTTTAACTCGAGTTTAACGTTTTGAGTTTTTGAACAACTGTCAAGTGTTCTCAATGGGGTATTAAATAAACTCAGAGTTTAATTAGACATTTGTTTGTTTACTTTTTCTTATTCACATTTTCTTATGAATTTACAAATACACCGAATATGCTCTTGCACATGCACAATATCCTGAACATCCCATAGAGTTTAAAAGAATATCAAGCCAGTTTTTATTCCAATCCTTTTAAAAAGTTAGTTAATTTAAAACTTCGAAGTTGGGTCGGTAAAATCAAAAATTGATCTGTAATTTTCAGAATTAATACAGGAACATGCATTCAATAGGCACGCATATTACCTTCAAAGCACATATGTACATAAATATATATTGTATAAAAACCATACATAATGATTTCAATAAATTTTAATTTTTTTGTTTATTAGGTTGAATATGCCACAACAGAATCTGTGGTTACCTTAGACTGGGAAAATGGTTTTGTCGAAGCCTCTGCAGCCAAAAATGAAAACATAACGCAGGTAAAAAGAATTACAAACATACATATATTATCTGAATTATTATTGCTAGCGTTTCATTTTTTTCCCCCAATATTTTATTTCCTCGTCACAGGTCTTCAAGGAGCTTCTGTCGCAGGCGAAAATCACGTACAATCTGAGTCCAGCACTACGACGCCGTCGACAATCGTTGCCACAGCAAGTAGGCAATAATGGAGCAGGCACACCAACACATCATCATCCACACTTAGCAAACACATCGGCGGCGGGCAGCGCACATGCAGCGACCTTGCCTTCGCATGCCCCAACGGCGGCGCAATTGCAACATTTACAAAGGATACAGGAACGCAGTTTGGGCAGCAAACGTAATTCGTGTACCATATCCTAAAGTCAATAAGCATACACATGAAGTGCACATGCGCACACATACATCAGCATTGCACATATTTCAAATGGGAGCGAATGCAAATGCGAAAAGGCACGTAATTTTTTAATGCCCTTACTTAGTAATGGAGGAAATGCATTAATCTTGGCACCTGCTTTCAGGTAAATTCTGCGGCAACTAACAAATGTAAATATGCTGTTGTGTGCGCGTGCATGTGTGCGTTAGTGCATTTTCACTAAAAATCAGAACTAAAATAAATATAAGGGGATAAAATTCAACCTAAAAAGACATACATACATATGCACATAGATATACTACAAACATAGTGGAGCTTTCCTGTAAGTTCTTTGCAGCAAATTTGACAAAACAAACAAGTAGAAATTTAGAAGAGATTTATAATCATTTTAAGTTCTTCGACTTCCGACTGAAATTAGGAATCTATGCAATAACACTGCTGCATTTTAGAATCAAAAAATTAAATGGAAGTTGGTTTAAAAGTATCAGAAAATAAGTTTTTTTCTTCTTCAGGGGAAGTCATTTTAGCACCTCAACCAAACGCAACTCACGATTCAAGATACATACATACATTATGAATTTACGCTTCCTCCTTAATCCGCAGAAAATTTCCATTTTCTGTGACCCCAAGTAAAATTTGGCGCTTTGCAATTTTGTGTAATATTTTAACCCTCTGTCATTTTTTGATAACTGGGTCTAAGAGACCCGTTCTGTTAAAATCTAAAGTTTTACAATGTTCTACAAAAATGTTTTGCTTAATTTTACCAAAGCGGTTTTAAGACAAGAACTATATTTGAAGTCAGTTTATACTTAAATGAGTTGTATTAAAATTGGATTTTTGTCCAAATGCGAAAGCATTCACCCACTGCAAAAAAAAAATGCTAACCATTGGGAATACATAGTTTGCTTGAGACTCAAAAGTGGCTGCTCCTCTGAGTTAGAATATAAGGTGACCACCCTTTTTTAAGATTGACGAACCCCACAATACCCGGAGCTCCGCAAATCAAGTTTTACATTCCCTGTAACTAGCGTTACAGTGTTAGAATAAAATCGATTACCATGCAAAAAGTCGTAAATTTTTCGTAATTTGACTGCACTAGATATTTTATACTCAGAAGTTTTTAAGAGATTTACAATTAACTTTTGCAAATAACTATACCTATATTTCGTACAGATTCCTAATCTTAGCTGAGCGACACATACACTGTACTTTTTGGAACCGGCAACCGAAACTTGTGAAACGCGTCTTACTCAATTGAAGATTCATGTTAATCTTCTGATTTAATTTACATACTCATAATTTTTTTCTTTTTGTTATTTGGCACAGCAACAAAAATTCGCCACCTGTTCATCAAAAGTCTTTACATATCCTTCAGCTTTCGTTATCTATTCATGGGTAATGAGTAGAAGGATCTTCTCACCGGGTGATTATTATATGCCGTGTCTAGTCTCAATGGTCAGTAATCAGTCGCAACTAATCTCATACGGGTATTATTGGAGATCAACTCATCTCTAACGGCAGTATTAACAATTTTATGTTATGTATGCACTTAATCAACTCCAATTAGAAAATAATGTATTGTTTGCGTTAGGAGAGAGTGCCCATAGATTACGTATATTCGTACGTACTTATCGTCACCTTAATTCACAAAGGTCCTAACTAACACTTTTTTTAATTGCTTTTTTCACAGATTTTAGTAAGATGTATTAATGTACCCATAATATAATCAAAATTTTTAAGTGTTAGTACCAAAAACAACGGAGTTACACGCCACTTTTCAAAAAGCCCTACCTGCTTTTGATACTCTTTTTATAATGTTTTTGGCTTCTCCTTAAAATAAAAAAAATTGTTGGTTAGGGCTTTTGTGAATAAAGGTAACGATATATTGATTGGGAAAAAAAACGTGCGCACGCACGGCTAACACCTCGGCTACGGCAACCGCTGTGATTTTCATGCACCCGTATTTCCTGATAGAATTTTCGGGTGTCTAATGCTTCACTCGTTCAAGGTTCCATAATATCGTCGCTTGGCACGCAATACTTCGTACCCTCCAAATGCAATGCATTTACTTATGTATGTATGTATATGACGTATGGGGTGGCATAGAAAAATATTTATTTTAGTTACCCTATCTCGGTGCTTGCTTACTTCACAAATTTACTTTGCGTTGTATTTATGGTTTCAAAAAGAAAAATATACATATGTATATATTTTTTAATTTCATTAATATTATTGCTAAAAGATAAACAGATAACACGTAGGGTCAGTTTTTCAATGCACGATTGTGATATAAACTTAGTTTAAACGCTCGAGCTGGCTAGTTTAAACCAAATGCCAGCCAGCTCTTCAATATAAACGCAGTTTACATAATCCAAGTTTAAAGTGGCACTGAAAAACTGGCCCTAAGACCTCCTCGGTGGCAGAACTTTTAATTAGCCTTTCGAAAGGCAGAAAAGAGCTTTCAAGGCAATTGCAGAATTGCCCTGTAAATTTCTTTGTTCCTTTCAAAGGTTAAGGGAAAGAAAAAAGTGTAATGAAAAATCTTGAAATATGAACTCGAAAATTATTTTGGTTTTATCTTTCGAGTCAAATGTGTTGCGAAATTCTAAAAGAAGGCTCTTTATCATGAACGTATGGTATTATCAATTATTCTGTACAAATGGCATCCAGCGAGCCCTAACTGCGAAAATAACGTGCGCAAAATTTTTTCAAAATTTTATTTTTGATGTAGAAAAGGCATTTCAATATCCCTTGCGTTATTCTCGAGGTTAGGGCTCGATATAATACGAGTTTATACTAAAGTGAACTTCTCATAAACTTCTTCCGTTCAAAAATAGTGATTTAGAAATGAGTTACCTGATTTCAAAACTACAATTCACTTAAATAATAAAACTAATCAGCTACTCATGACTATGTATTTACTAAACATGCTTTAACTAGAAAAACATACAAACAAGTATTGCTCTCTCTCTCTACGGTCATATTTATATAAAACAAAAAACACAATAACAAATACATATTTACATACGTACAAATTTGTGCGTGACGACTGGTTTCCTTATAAAAATTAAAAATATTGCAGATATACATACATACATAGATACTTAAAAATGTTTACTAAAAATCGCTTATCAGTTTAGCAGATACAGACCCATATACATTAATATTACTCCGCCAATGTTTCAAATATTCATGTGTAACCTCAAAATATAGCAAATAAATTCTTATAACTATTATACATAACAACTAAAAAATAATAAAAAAAATTTAAATAAAATGTGCAATACAGGATAGATCGTATATGTAGTATTTGTATGTATAGCAATGACTCAGTACATATGTACTAATTATAAAATACAAAAAAAAATAAAATGTGCTACCAGATAGTATTAAATATATTTAATGATGCGTAAAAATTAAAAAATCAGGTCTCACCTCGTACCTGTACTATAAAGAGAATATTTGTTATACTACTTTCCGACTACGGGTACTTATCGTCTATTAGATAAAATGCTTATATGCATACCTACATACTTATTTACTCTCTTAGTGATTACATACATAAGTACATAAACCTACATACATATATAGAATCAATGTTAGTACATACATGCATATGTACATAGAATAAATATTGTTTATTTAAATCAAATATAATTAACTTTAGTAGCGTGATTTCACGATAAATGATAAAAAATCTAATAAACAAATCAAACACCAAAACTTAATAAATATATATTTACCTAGTACTAGTATGTGTTTATTTATAGTAATTACTAATTAGATAAATGTTTCTGCGTTTGTGGTTGTTAGCATATCAGCTGTTAACGTTAGTAAGTAAACAACTGATTAAACTGATTATTTTGTGCGCTTAGAAAATTCTTGTCTTCCTCTGTGCCCTTTTCATTCTTATTTTTTTTTACTACTTAAAGCCCTTTAGGCCAGGCATGTCCAGCGCAGGGTATGCCTGCTTTAGGCTGTCGATTCAGAAGATGTTATAAGCAATACAACAATATACATACATATGTAACGAACTTGCATAGCTAAAAGCACTCGTTTGTATTCCTCTATTAAAGAGCCTATTTCCGGGTCTCCGCCGCAGTTCTAGTTTTTTAGTTTTTTTTTTTTACTTAAGCAGGGTCTTTTATGCCAGGAAAAAGCAGAGTATTTCAAGACTATTCCCATTACAAATAAATTTTTAACATCTCTTAGTAAAAGCATCGGAACTTACTTTGATCTGTAACGAAACTTCCAAACCATTGTAGCGCTTTATGTGAGCGCGAGAAACATCTGTATTAAAATTGTCTATATTTTCATTAAAAAATAATACATAATTTGTTTATATTTGACGTTAAACAACTCCAAAAATAAAACTTAAAACAAATTCGATTACAGGTCTGAACAATTTTCCTAGAATAAGTTTTTTATATTTATTTAATTTTTAGTTTTATTATATATGTACATATGTACATACATATACATATATAAATATATGTATCTTTATATTTAATTTTACTTTATTTTATTCTGTTCTGTTTTATTTTATCTCACATTCATTTTTTCAGCTAAATTAATTTTTTAGAGTTTAGTTTTATTATAAAATCCGCAACAACTATATATAAATACATAAAAAAAATATTAATTAAGGCAACTAAAAAACAAGATCTATTGAAAATGTTGATGACTTCACGGATCGCTTAATCCGCAATATTGTCGTCTGTCAGGGTACAATTTCGATCGGATCAATTGCGCTGTTAATCCGGATGAACGTTGCCGTCAGTCTATGCTATTAGTGAGGTGTGGTTTCTCACGGCTTGTTTGTATATATTTAGTATATTTACAAGCGACTATCTATATATACGAGGAATTTAGGCGATCAGTCATACGAGGAATTTATCGCGATCTGAAGCAGCTTCAGAATTGAGTTATATATCAATTTAAAGTGCAAGCGGCAGAGGTTAGTCAAAAATTGTCGGTGGACTAGGAGATCTCGACCCAAGCCGACAAAAGATTGTAGTGCCAAACAAGGAAAAGAGGAAGAAGAAGACAAAAGACTAAGAAAAAATTATAAGCATTTAAATATTTTCTTAAGGTATTCTCAACGTATCTACATATGTATTTATATTCATTATACAATTCATCGTCCCATATATTGGAATAAATTTTTTCTGCTTTAAATGTTTTTTTTCCTAAGTAAGGGCTTTTGTTGTTAAAAGAACAGTTATTTTGAAAAAACTACATCATCCTTCTTTACCGCTTTTACTTAATTACTATTTTAGGGAACAGTTCACCGGTTTTTTCGCGAAGGTAAAAAGGCTCACAAAAGTCGAAAGTGAGCAGTTTAATCCATTGGAAAATATTAGCCAATTATATAAGTTCACAGCAAAAATTTTAAAAAATAAATTTATGTAGAATTTCCCGCTGATTCCGAAAATCGAGTTAGTTTTTTTTCATATATAGGTTTTCTTGATATTTGCAATTCACCGTTATTCGGCTAAAAAAAAGTAATTCCACTTAATCACGTATGTCTTACGAAATGAAAGCTAACGAAATTTGGCGTAAACCGTTTATATATAACTTTTCGATAGGCCTGGTAATTTCTGAGGAATTAATTAATCAGTCCTTAAGTACACATCGAGCCGTAACCTCTAAAATAACGTAAGCGACATTTTTTCAAAATTTTCTTTTTGATGCAAAAATATTCCTAGAGCATCTAGATGCATTTCTCCATCAAAAAAAAAATTAAAAAATAAAAATTTATTTTTTTAATATTTTTATTGAGCTTTGTACCACGATTGTTTATTAGGAAAAATTGAAAAGCAACTTCTTGACTTCAGCAATCTAGAAAAAAAGAAGTCTGATGAGGAGATGTGGTGATCTCCGAAATAACTGCTATAGCTTCTACCGCTTAGACTTTGCTGCTTTTTCAATTTTTCCTAATAAACAATCGTGGTACAAAGCTCAATAAAAATATTAAAAAAATAAAAATGTTAATAAGCCACAATAACTTTAAAAAAATAAAATGTCGCTTAAGTTATTTTGGCGGTTAGGGCTCGATATATTCATGAGTATTATGTTTTATTTTTTACTTAAGATTAAATACTTAATATTAGAAACTATTTCTTTAATGCTTTACTTAGCGGGTAGGAAATATTATTATATATTATATATTAGAATTGTTTGTCGAAAATATATTTCATACTATTATGTAAAATTAGCAAACAAACATTTTATATAACTACAAAGGTAGTAGAAACTCCTTTACTGATTAGAGAATCGAAGCTGTTTTCAAAAATTCTTAAATGGAGACGGATCGTTTAACTTTTGTGTATCAG